ATTTTCTTCCCTTTTCTTCTTCCCGAGTGAATGTCACTTAAAAGACAAGTTTGTAGTAAAGGCTTAAGTCACAGCTCTCAGTGTCTCTCTAGCAGCTGCTTTTTGGGGTTAAAAAATGCATTAAATTTTAATTGGTGTGTGAAACAAACCTTTTAGGAGTAAAATAGAGAAAACAGTTATAAAAAATTATAATAATGGCGATAACAAAAAAAGATAATTACTTCGTAACTAAACCCTACTAAAGCTCACGTAAGCATTGATTCGTTATGAACTTATGAAATCCATTACCGAAACACCTGCGGCTCGAGTCGTGGGTGTATTATCCCTCTCTGTGGGATTAAATTTTCTTCCCTAGAATGTTGAGATGAATCGAGGAACTTGAGTATTTATTGGTTGTTTTAATATCAAAAGAGAAACATTGCCATTACTATACACGACCTAATAATGGAGGATAAGTGTAGCAAAAAGGGGGGTCACAGTTGAAAAGGAATTGCGTTCCCGCAAGGGAGATTACACCCCAAAAAATACAGAATGAGTAGCTTTTCAAAAGGGAAAAAACTCTTTTCTAGCTGATTGATTATCCCCTGTCTGAGTTCCATGTTTCCTGCAGCGAAGAGGTTGTGAGCACAGTTGTCTATCTTGACTCCTGACACAATGAAGCCATCCTTTCTCACGTGATGATCACGAGTAAAAATTTGTGTGCTTCATCCGAAAAACGAAAAAGAATGAAGGATATTTTCCGTTCAAGGGAGTTTCAACTTATCTTCCTCCTCTAAGCACCTTCTTCAAATTTTTAGAACCTTCGGTGCATTGCGATGCATTACGCAAGATGATTTAGTTGTGTTGTTTTAATATAAAAAAAAAAATTACCTGTGGTGATCAAAAGTAGCTGTATTGTACTGAAAGCTTTGTGCAGTTTGCAGGTGCAAAATACGTGTCTCATCTTTAATGTATAGTCTGCACGCATAGATTTACTATTCATGTACAGATATATTTATGTGTTTGTAACCTCGGTAACCACTCAAACGACATTTAACGTATCTTTGCGCACGATTTCCTTAGTTTGTGTTGAATGGCACAAAAAAAACATTAGATTTTCACGACGGCTAGCGTCATAGTTGTAGGATATTCTTCAACTGCCTCTTTTTTTAGATTGAAAATAAAACCCTCCTTGCAGTGTCTAGCAGTTGTACAAAGATACTTTTATAATAATTTGAATATTACTGATGGACAATTTGTTGTTAAGAGTGTTTTTGAATTCACTATTATCAGTAACAAATTCATGACTATTGTTGAAAATTAGCGTAAAAAAACCTGCCTCTGAAAGGCAAAATAATAATGAATGATAGTATAACTAAATAATAATAACAATAATAATAATAATAATAATAATAATTATCATGATGACAAAACTGACAATAATAATGGATCATAATTCGTATCCTTTGTCAGTCGTGCAAAGTCTTAGAGGGTTTAGGTCGCGTGCAAGGAGGCTTGGGTCGATTCGCGTTACGTAACGCGACTTGACCCAATCCTCCCTCAACTTTTTGCTCGCCGCTATTGTCGCACTGCGCTCAGTTTTAGTGCCTGAATGCCCGGAACAGGCTACTACTTATGAAAATACGCTCCGTTTCCGTTATTTT